CCAACACAAATGCCTCAATATCTTGGTCCCCAGTTGTCCATATGCCACAAAATATGCATCAACAGAGAGCTATGGATGAGCAGAGTCCATATATTTAAAAATGACCTGGATGTGACTCATGCAGCTGCCACTATACACAGTACAAAATCCTATTGGTGCCACAATTGGGGGAAAAAAGCGCCCAGAGCACATGACCTGATGACATGACTGCCTCACCCCCAAGTGTCATATACCACCAGACTCAGAATTTCAATCTCTATTCCATGGTACTGTCTATGTATTCAGTAATGAAATCTGGAAGGAGCTCAAACTATCATAAATGCAGTATTGCAGCTCATGTGTGGCATTGCACCATATATGGCAATCTGATCAGGCAATGAGGTCACATAATCATGCTTATGGAGTGTGTTCAATGGGGTAATTCATATTTGAAGCATCAAATGATCATAAAAGTGCCTAAACACATTGTCTTGCTGAATAGTGCCCTCACTGCGTTCAACGCATTTTTAGTACATACCGTAGTAAACAGAGCCTGGCAATGTAGTCGTCCGAGGCGAATAGATAATCAGGTCAGCTCGCCGAGTAAGCGAGAGCATAGGCGTCTACGTCATCTGGTCGCCTCTGGACGCCGAGCGTCTAAATGGTCCACTCGCACCGCAAGTGCACGCTGACCACATCCGCGTACATCGCCTACTCCGGCTCTACTCGTGGGCAGCGTATACATAATATAGTCGTGAATCTATCTATCTGGTGTACTCAGCAACGTCTAGGGCTCAAGCTCAAGGTCGACAAGACAGGGAAAGGGTCAAGTCCACCGCTTGCCTTATCCCCCCATCATCCCCACCGCTCTCGACGCTCTCTGTGCTCGCATCTCTCGGGGTCTTGCGATGTCCACCCATGTACGGTGCACCTGCGAGTCAATATGCAAGCTCGAGAATGCGGAAGGCGTCGACATACCGCGCCACGAAGAGCGCATGCATCGGAGGAAGGACCTCATGCGCGGGTCCGATAAACTGCAGAGGGCGCGCGGCGTCAGGGGTCGTGGTGCGCGAATACTAGGCTCAGGACGACTAGGTGCTCCAGGGGGAAGCAGTACGGGCCCCTCTCGACCGTTCGGCCATGGCGTATTAGCCCACGGACACGGCCGTGGCGACAACAAGCTTGGGCACAACCAGGCCTCAAAGTGCGGCCCCCCTTCACCACATCCCTCCTCAGATCGCCCGCGAAGTCCACAGCGCCCTCGAATACCGCACGTAGATGACTCTGAGAACATTGACAAGGTCCCTGTCGCTGAAGTACGCGACCGGGAGAGGTCGCTGATACCTCTACCTTCCGGATCCAGCCAGGAATACATTGAGGTAAGATCAGGGCGCAAAAGGCTAGATATCAGTTGATTAAGGAGTCAGCAGGCACTCTGTTCGGTGCAGTTACGTGCTGAGGATGATCACGATATTGAAGACATGTACTATACACCAACAACTGGGCCCAATCAGCTACAACCAGCCTCAGCTGCAGGCAGGCATACAGAGCATACCCCGCCGCTCCTGAGTCCTCCTGCCTTGCAAAGCCGTCCGTCCACACCGTCCATAGAGCTCGACCATGGACTAGATGCATCGAGCCACACATCCGGCACCCACCCATCTGAAGAGGGAATGCAGCTCGGCCTGTATGACGATGCTGATGCCGATGCCGACGAGGATGAACTTGAGCTGCAGGCACGGCTCGCACAGCTCGATGTGGTGAGTCAATTGTATATCATGCCGCCTGTGTGCCCTACTAATTCAACCAACTCGTCAAACAGGCACGGCCTGAGCCCGCTGCTATCGTCGAGCCTGCCGCAGAGCACATGGATGGACTGTCTGGCAACGATGCTTCCCAAGCTGGCGAGGACGTGGTCATTCTGCCGGGCTCCGCGCTCGACGAGGGTCCTGTTCAACCTCACTCTTCACTCGAGGCCGTCGACCTGCTGTACGCCCGTCTTGCTGTACTCCAGGCGCCCCCCCCGGCGCGGGACAGACCGCGCTGTCTTCCTCAGTTCCCATGAGAAATGGTTTGTGCGAACCATCCTCTTGATGGTCACCTACCTCCACACACGCCACCATATCACCTTCCGATCTGCGACGATCATCCTGTTCACCACTCGCGCCATATTCATAGCTCTGGGGGTCATCGACTTGAATGACCCGATGCCGAAGACGTTCACCACAGCACTCAAGCGTCTGGACCTCACAGACCGCTTTCACATCTTCCCGACTTGCCCGCAGTGTCACCGTCTATTTCGCCCCGACATCGCCCCCTCCACCCTCTGTCCAGTATGCAAAACACCCCTTTTCAGCCGTGGTGCCCTCGCTGTTGTCATGGAATACCTTGGCGCGGCACTGCCCCATGCTATTCCACGCTTCGCAGCTCCGTTTCGCCCCCTCTCAGCTGCTATCCTCGACTTTCTGTCACGTCCACACATGGACATCAAGGTAGACGAATGGCGGAACATTCCGTCCATCCCAGGCGAGTACAGGCGGATACAAGATGGGCGGATTTGGAAGACACTGAAGGGCCATGATGGCCTGCCGTTCTTCGGGCCTCAGGCGCACGGTGAGATCCGCATAGGGGTGATCTATCACCTTGACTGGTACATCGACAACCCCCGTTTGTTCGTGTCAAGCTAACACTCTTTCTTCAGGTTCTCTTGTAGGCGCAGTCCCTTCGCACCCTCACACTCCTCCGGCATCCTGTCATGTTCAATCGCAAACCTCGATCGGCTCCTTCGGTACGTGTGAGGTTTTCAGCTCCCATTGAATATCACCGCTGACCGATCAAGTACAGGTACTGCATGCAGTACATGATGCCATGTGCGATGACGCCCGGGCCAAACGAACCTGACGCGGAGGAGTTACAGTACTATCAGGAGCTCCTTATCGAAGACCTCCTCATCTTGTACTATGAGGGCATCACAGCGCCCACATACTCCCATCCACACGGTGAGTTGATATCGTCTTGATCCATTCTATATCACATAACCCATTGCATCCAGGCATCAATACACGTGTAGCTTGCATCTGCGCGTCCTTGGATCACCCCGGTATGTGTAAGTCGGGCGGCTTTGCTGACAAGAACCACAATGAGGACCCGTGTCCCAAATGCGAGGCCAAGCTAGCGGAGATGTACACCTGGATAACGCGGTCGCAGACGGAAGGTACGTGGGTACACTCACGTAATGGCATTGTCTAACGTTGCTTTACCAGATCTTCCCGAACGAACTGATGCAGAGCACCGTGCCCGCGGACAAGAATGGAACGACCTCGATGACAACGAGGAACGCAAAGCGCATTTCAAGCAGCACGGCACGTGATGGACCGCCTTCTCCCGCCTTCCATACTTCGAAATCACGCGCATGATGGTCATCGACCCCATGCATAACTTGTTGCTAGGTACGTGATTACCATATCAGCTGCAAGACTTGCATGTACTGACACGTGCGTGTGCAGGGCTAGTCAAGAATCAATGGTACACTCATTGGATTCGCGGTAACGCCTTACGCGCAGATACAGATGCGGGAACAAAGCGCGAGCTCAAGGTCCTACATAACTTCCTCGCATCAGTGCGTACTGACCATCATCATTTGACGTATGCATAGCTAATCCTAAAGTAGTTCACCGTTCCATCATGGGCGGGACATCTTCCCACTCGTGTCGGCGAGCCCGCAGGTGGCTCTCTCTGCAGATGAATACAAGAACATGGCTCTACACCCTGGCGTCATAGTGGTAAGTGTTGCCGCCTCCCGTGTAGCACCAATGTTATTGATATCCTCATGCAATGCAGATTCCGATTCTGTGGGAGCGATTCCTCCCAGCATCGCACGAGGAGCATCAGAGAGCGCTGAAGACGCACCAGAAGGCCATGGACGCATGGAAGAAGGCGAACGACGCGCACAAGAAGGCGACGGTGGAGCACGAGGCGCCTAAGGTGCCGAAAGCAAAGAAGGCCAAGGTCCCTAAACCGATGCCTCCTCCTGCCCCCCCTGTACCACGCATGCACGCAGGCGAAGTAGACCTTTTCTTGAAGCTCTCAACTGCGCTCAAGTTGATCCTTGCGAGCTCCGTCACGGATGAGACTCGGCGACGAGGATGTCAGCTCCTCCACGAGTACCTGGTAGACTATGGAAAGGTATGTTGCGGTGTACGCACTTCATCGCTTACGCTGTACTCTGCGCTGATTGACATTGGTGTTTTGAGCTGTATGGCATTGAGAAGATGGTTCCTAACCATCATTTCGCTCTGCACACGGAGCCACAGCTCGAGGACTACGGTACAGTATACGACATCTGGGCTTTCCTGGCCGAGCGCTTGAACAAATTGTTCAAGTCGTTTAATCTGAATAACTGGGGCGGCGGGCAGCTCGAGATCACGATGATGCAAAGTTTTCTGCGTGACGTTGATCTCCAAGCGACGGTAAGTTGTACTGTTCTTATGTCTTATGTGATTGTCTGATCACGTACGTGTATAGGTACAATGTGTCGCATCTATGCCGGCAGAAGATCCTCAGGATGTCTCACAGGAGATTGCCACATATCTCTTGAAGGACACCCGCGAGGCACGGGGAACCATCGAAGCAGCAGCAGCAGTACCGGGAGCTCCCATTGCAGCACTGCATGCTGCGACTAGAACCGGTGCACACTGATACTTCTGCTATTCTGTGCTGCGGCCACAGCCTCACTGCACCATAGATCCAGGGGTCCTCTCCCTCGTTGCAGGCACGCATGGATCGCGTCCCGTCAAGCTGCCAGATGCAAGATGCCACACACTTCTACTATATTACAACCACTCTCTTGCTCGGACGGTCCCGCCCTCGGCCGTGCGCCTCCGTCATGCACATAGTGCTCACGTTGTCATGCACCAAACTGGTTTGGCACATGGGCCTACCGGAACAGTCCAGGGTATGCCAGCAATAGGAGCACCCTCACCAGACAGACCTAGGACCAGAGACCAACCTAGCAGACACCAGAATGCTTAGGACTAGCCCAGAGGTCAGGAGACAGTTCCGGAAGGTACCGGAAACTTCAGGAACAGGAGGAACCCAGCCATCAACACAGGATCATCTGCAGAACACGCTGGACTACTTCAGCTGACAAAGGTGCAGAAATTGCCAGAAGGTTCTAGAAGGTTCCGGACGATGTGCACATGACAGCCTAGCATCAGAGAGCCAGGGAGCACCAGGATATTCCAAGGAGACAGGAGGAGAACATGTCGGAAACCCACGGAATGTTGCGGAACATTGCAGAATATTGTGGAAACCACTGGAATACTCAGTGTTCCCCTTCAAGAATTCCCTGGAAACCATTCAGAACTCCTGGGAAACATCAAGAATATGTGGAGAAGGTTCTTAGAATGTTTTGGAAATCCCTGACAGGCTCAGGAAAAGGATGGATAAAGGAGAAGGACAGGACTAGGAATGAAGGAAAAGTAGGAGAATAAGGGAGAATATTCTGGACATGGATTAGTCGTACTACAGACCTGCTTTATAATGTACCATTTAGGATTCCCACGCCCCTTGGCTCCAGGTATAAATACTGGGCTGAGGAAGGGGATCCGAAGCAAGCATTCATTCTCGGAATCTTCCTAAAGTGACCCACCCACACTTTAGTATCCCCACCACCACTTCACCACTCTCTTCACCACTCCCTCACCACCACAACCCACCATCACACCCAGCCGCCAGGCTAGATTAGTTGGGGTTCATCTGGAACCTTCAGTCAACTACTAGCACCCACGCCACTCAGTCAGATCAGTTGGGGTTCGCTGGAACCTTCCGACAACTGCTGACCCTCGCACTCGCACCCACGGACAGCCAGAAGCCATCAGATTAGTGAGGTTTACCGAAACTTGCAACAACTACTGGTGCCACGAGAACACAGGAGACGCACGCACGCAGGACAGGACTCGTCAGGATAGTT